GAAAAAAATGAGTATTCCTCATTGAACAGCAAGAAATATTAGATTTTACTCATTTAATCAATTATGATAAAGGCAGTGAAAGAACCGATATTCTAGAGAAATCTAATCAAATCAAATTATCATTATGATTTGACGGTAAAGTGAAATGGACACACAAGACTTGATTGGGAATCTTTTAAATGAAAAAAAAATTTAATTCATAGAAAAATTTTGAGAAAAATGTTTGATCCCTTGTGCCTTAAGAATGAAAGAAGAATATTGGACAAGTCAAGTCAAGTCAAGTCAAGAATTTTTTACAGTTAACTGGAAATGCAGACCAGATGCTAAAATATCAATTACATGCATTATTCTTACTAAAAATATACAACTGAAAATCGGTAATGTTCAACTTCTGCAATGATCCACGAGTAATTTTGAAATAAAATCAAAAGTAGAAAGAATAAAAAATAAAAATCCAGAACACAATTACTTTGGACAAACATCTAAGATATGTGTGGTCTCTTCACCCCAAAAAATTGCCACTTCAAAATTCAACATGACCTAAGCAGAAAAACCCATTTCACTTGCATGCAATGCAAATCAATTATTATCATTCTATTTCTAAAGAGCAGATTGTACCAACCTTTGTGCCGAATGGACCAACAGGATAGTTTATTTCAAGCAGATCTCTTCCCTACAAATCCCATTCACCAAAAACTAAAAGTTGTCAAAACCTCAGAAAATAAGCATAATCATTTACTTAATACAAATAACCACTTAGCCATAACAAGCTTGTCATTTTCAACAAACTAAAATGAATTAAATACTAAACAACATTGAATTTTTCTTCTATCTTGTCCCGTGGTGTATATTAAGCTTGATATCACCTTTGGAAGGAATCAAAATTCGGAAAAAGAAATTGAAAAGATAATCACCTCAAGCTCCGCTTCAAGTTCCTCTCTCTCATGTCCAGTTGCAATAGGCATTACATCTTCAACCCTCTTCTTCACAGAAGTATTTGCTAGAAAAGAAATTGAATCGAGGTCATTCTTCCATCTATATATATATATATTCACAAGTTCACAAGGAAACAACATAGACATCTAAATGCACATAAGATTCCAGCACATCACTTCGACATTTACAGCTACGGTTTTGGACTAACTATCTACTTTTTCCTCGTTAACAAATTGTAATATAGTTAAAGAACGATGAACGTATTTTGGTACATATTATTGTATGTCCCTTAGTTTGAAAGTAAGATAACATGCGGTTGGATAGACAAGCAAGCACTGGCATGAAATTATCTCCTGAGAAACAAAATGTTTAAATGAAATTACCGGTAAACTCTTAATCACATGCACATTTACATAGAGAAGATCTCTTACAGATTGGTTCAGACACGTCCATATGCAAAGATCTAAGCGACGAAATCAGAGTAAGTTTATACCTGCATCCGAACTGAAGTGGCGAGCGACGAAAGCGGAAGAAGGAGAAATTAGGGATCTGTTAGCAGATAGAGAGAGTGTAGAAGATCTGATTAGAGCAGATCGGCAATAAGGAGTTGGAGGCGAAGCGGCAGCAGCTAGGGTCTTGAGGTGTGAAGAGAGGATTCTTCTCCACATTATGGTTGGCTATTTGGGGTTAGGGTTCTGTATGATCTCAGGTCACGCCTGTTATGGAGAGAGGTTGCCTCTTTGATTCACTCGTTCTCTCAAATCTGAGACAGAGACTGGGAAGGGTGTGGTTTTACCTGGAAATGGGGAGAGGAGAGCCAAAAATGGGGCAGACGAATGGGGAGCAAGGCGATGGCTGGCTTGATTGACTTCACACGTGAGGTCTGGTTAGGCACGTGTTACGAAATAGCAATTTCTTCTTGTTAATACATACTAATTTGCTGACATATTCTACGGGTTATCTTAAATAAATTTATTTTATTCCATTTTTGAATTTTTACATTAAATTTAAAAGATTTTGCAGAAAAAAATTATAAAAATTATGCTTTTTGAATATTAATAATATAAATTATTTATTTCTGCTGCTATTATTAATTAATTCCGTATAATTTAATCCGGTATTGGTTATAATTTATACAAAATAAAAATATCACATACATTTTATATATTAGTAATAATAACTTAAATACATTTTATTTTTTAAAAAAATATATGACATAAATTAAAATATTATTAATTAAAAAAATATTTTAATAATACCTAAAAATAATAGACAATATATACTGCACAGAGTACAAGTGTCGAACTAATTAAAATTGATGCATATAAACAATTAAATTAATTATATGATATGGACATGTTTATATTTATTGAATCATATTAATTAAATACACAATTAAACTATGTAAATTAAAAATAATTAATTAAATTTATATATTAAATTACAGCGTTTCGGAATTCAGTAAGCAGAAAATGACCTAAAATGGGGAATGGACTTCGAAATATCATCCACCAACATGGGTAAGGTTTTTTCCACTTAAATACATACTCACACCAGGTGATACTCAGACACTCAAATATCAAAACTCTAATCCTCTGCTTCATTCATGAATGTCCAAGAAATTAAGAGGATGTGTTGACAAAATGAGGGGTCACTTCTCTAACTCGTGTTAAACCTTATGCTGAACCCTGACTAAACAACATAAAACATCAAGCTTTGAGAGTTCGTACTCCAAGAGGGCCCCTAGAAAATATATGAATTAAATGGATCTGTTTGATCATGTTGCTATAGAACTTAGAAGCAACAGAAGTCAAAATTGATCCCAAATTTGTTTCTTCACCATTAAGGATGTGGCATGGGAGCTGCACTCACCACTTTCTCAACCCCAGATATTGAGATCCAGATCCTCATAAATGATGTTGGTAGTCATAGAGTTTTGAACTATTTCAACCCTTTTCCACCACAACATTGAATGATCGTGTATATACAGCTACATGAGTTACTTGCCTTTTCAAACCAGGGTTAAGCTAAGGAAGTCATTCTGCTCCAGAAATTTCTGGACTAGATTATCTGCAACGCAACATATTCATGAGATGCAAACATTTCATAATGGAGCCAAAACCTTGAGGCGAAAATTAAAAGCCAACATCCACCCATAAATGGTGCATACATTTTGACAGAAGGGACTCTTCTAGGTTGAATTAAATCTTGCACATAGGAAATAGGAAAAGTAAAGAGCTAACTGAGGCAGTGCTTCAATAGAGGGTGACCACTCAAAAGGCAATGGAAGCATAGACACAAAAGCAATACGACATAAAACACAAAGCTGAATAAATGAAATGGGATAAAATATGAATCAATTTTTTCACCAACAGATTACTGCTAAATTATATGCCTCTGGCATGCCACTTACGAGATAATAGAATACAGCAGCTGAAAAAATTGGCCAGAAAATATGTTACCTACTATCCTCTGGTTCCAGGGATCATGGCTGAAATATTTCCAACTTCAGCAAAGCTTCTTTTGTTGCTTTCTGCTTTTGAACTCCTGATCCTTATCTGCTTCCAGTTTTCTCCTTAAATTTTTTAAATCTTCATCACTTACGTGACCATTCAACTTTTGATTCAATGCATATGCTTCTGCCAACTTTCTTTTGCACTCTTTGCTGGCAGAATCATGAGAAACCACTGAAACACAATGCAAAAAAAAAAAAAAAGAGGTTAGGAAATTTTGAGGTAAACACACACAAGCCTAAAACAATCAATCAGAGAAAAATTGTTGTGGTGAAGATAACAATATCTTTTGGGGAAGATACAACAAGATCAGCTCAACTGTGGATTTAACTGCTGCTATGAAATGCTTAATGAAATGCAGCAACTTGAGTGATCAGCTCAAGTGTGGATTCAATTGAACCATTGCATCAACTTGACATTAATTATTTATTTCAACTGATAAAATGCAGTAGCAGTGTCAACCAAAAACCAATTATTCTTCAGTTGAAAAAGAATCAGGAAAAAAGTCTGCCATCAGAAATTAAGTAAAAACAAAAGATATGTATAAGACAATTATTTACTTGATCATAAGATGACAAAAAATTGCAATCAGAGTAACTAAAGTGTGCCCAAGTTCTAAGGCTAATTAGAATATCTAATGAGCCAAATAAAGACTGAGAACAAAAAGGAGCAACAAGATGCTGCTCCATAATCAGATTTCCAATACTGCCTACTGAATGCACCATAAAAGCAAAATTTGGCATTCAAAAGCATGGAGATGCTTTCGTTGAATCATTGTCATTCTACTAAATGTGCACAGGATGGCTTTTACATGCAAACACAGTCGATCTACTAAATAACCCATAAAAGATGCATCCAAAGAGAGCTTTTCATTGAATCATTGTTCATTCCAAAATAAAAAGTCAAAAAAGGCACAATTAAGACCATAAGATAACTAACCTGGCTTTGGGTAGTCTTCTCCGATTATGCACTTTGCTTTCTTTTGAATGCTTGCAGGAGCTGTCCATGGTTCATAAATATACTCCTTCGGCATATCTTGTAAATGAATGCAAAGTCATCTGAAATGCACGACAAACTATGTACAGCTAAAGAAAATTATGAAAATAGGTGGAACTACAAATACCTTTGAGTACTGGGAGAAAATGCCTAATGTAATTGCCATCTGGGTCATATTTTTTCCCAAAAGATACTGGAGAGTAGACACGATTATACTGGACCACAGAAATATTAAATGCAAAATTTTGAGTTAAGAGTTATTCAGCACTGCAAAACAGCCAACTCTGAAGGAAAAAGCACAGAATTTAAGCACCCAACATATATACACAAGCAACTCTTGTTCACCATATTTAACACGCAGATGAAAGATGTAAATGAAGAAATATTCTTTGTTTTATAGTTTATACTTATCACTAACATTATATTATTTGCATCATTAGAGTTATACTAAATATTTTGTAAGATTAGAACTCTACATCTTAATGTCTTGTAATATTATAAGTAGCACTTTCATATGATAAATAAAATTACCTTTTGATTCATATCTGCACATGGTGTCAGAGCATATTACAAGAAAAAAATTCTATCTTCTACCTGTTAGGTTTACATTAAAAAAAATAAAAATAATAATTCTCATCTCTCTATCAAACACGCAGCATTTTACTCAATCTCCTCAGGCGCAAATCTCCCTCTCTTCTGCCATCAGATACAATTCTGTGGTTCCCGTTTCTCTCTCTCTCACACATTGCAAAAGTGGTGCTGGTCTATTCATCAGCACCTCCGTTTCCCGCCAACCTGACTAGTCCTGAGAATTTCTTTGCTATCAATCAAGCTCGCCAAGATATGCGCGAATCTCGTAATGACCGTGTTCAGGCTGTAAACATGTATTTTCCTACATACAGGGTACTTTACATTGTGACTCTTACTTTCACTCTGCTATGTGTTTAGTGGGACCCCTGAATGCAGACTGGGCAGGATATCCTGACACCTGCTGGACCACCACGGGATATTGCATTTTTCTTAGTACCAATTTGATTTCTTGGTGTTCCGAGAAGCACACTATAGTCACTCGTTCCAGTTCTAAGGTTGAGTATCATATTTTTACGGCACCAGTTTCTGACATATCCTGACTATAGAATATGTTTTGGGAGCTTCATTTTGCTTCAGTTGAATCTCCTATCTTATTTTGTGACAATGTCAACATCACCAACTTCTAATTTAATCAATTATACTTCTCCTAAGCATCTAAAACTGGATATAGATTTTGTTTGAGAAAAAGTACAAGTAGGAAAGTTAGTAGTTTGATATATTATCAGTCAAAATCGGTTACCTGAAATTTTCACCAAAAAATTCTCCTATGTTTTATTTGTATCATAATTTGTTTTATCAAAAACATTATTTTTTTTTTGTATCATTGGGGTTCTATAACTTAATTTTTTGTGAAATTAGAACTCTACATGCTAGTACTTTCATATGATAAATAAAATCACCCTTTGATTCACATTTGCACAGGATGAAGATAAATCACAGATTGCTCCTTGGCGCATTTACAGAAAAGTTCCTAAAAAAAGTGATTATAAGAAAAATGACAATATGAGTTTGAATCCCCAAAATTTGACGACAAAAGATTTTCTGAAAGACAATTTTTGTACTATTGCTAGTCCATCATAGCAGGTCCACAAACAATATCCAAAATTATCCCCAAAAAAGTTGTGCTGATAGTAATGTTTCTACTAAGTTTGTGATTGACCTGGACTGCTGAGCATAAATCATTTGAAGCTTTGATGCTCAGATGCAAATTTTTGCCTATTCATAGATTGTTAGAGGAACTTGATTGTGTTTGAGGAAAGGAAAAATACATATATATACCTGGTAAAAAAAAGATGAACATGATAGCCACAACCAATTTCCATTATTAATTGCCCAATCTGAATCGATCAAAAGTCTCTCAAAGACATCGCGCCCTTTCTCCCAATGAACAAACTATCAGCAGAAACAATTCATGTCAAGAAAAAACAAGGATAATGAGAATACTGATTCCCATAGAAAAAAAGTAGTTTACCAGATCTCCACGAGTTAGAAAACAAGCGACGCAATGTCGTGCTAGGTGGTGTATCCAACCCCATTCGCGGAGCTAAAGCAACCAATACACAGAACTTCAAAATCAGTTCCTCAAATCAAATTACATGATAAATAAATTAGTATGTACTACTTTATGCCACGACAAAACAAAGGATTGTGAACTACTTTATATCACGACATAACAAAGGATCTGTTGGTCACAATATGACACTATATATGCCATGTTAAGCAAAAATTACTTATTGTACCACAATCTAACCTGGACCATGATAGCATCAATCCAAGGATATCCTGTCCTAGCTTCTCTCCAAGCATCCAACAGGTTATCATCATCATTCCAAGGTATCTACATTGGAAGTAGCTTTTTCACATCAATTATATGAAGGATGACCGGACTATTTAATGTGTTTTTAACCTGCCAAAGTTGACTAAATTTTTCGAAAAAAAAAGATCAAAGGTATTTGAGTTTGAAATGTTTTATTCAAATCTGTGATCTATCAGTGATGCATATAAAAAAGTGGAATGAACTGAAAAGTAGTAACCCTAACAGTGCTCATCATGCTGCCCATCAATTATGAGAAGAGCAATGCATGGGCTTGAGGGTCCAGCAGGTTCTCTCTGAAGAGAATCTTCTCCCAAAGAAAACTTTTTATCCAACTCAGGCACAAATTTTGTCAAACAAAACTTTATGACTGAAGCAGGCATGAATTTACAAAACAGAAAGACAAAAAGTGAGATTACCGGATCTTTTTGTTTTTATCTTTCTCCCTTTTTTATTTTTGTTTCAAAGACTTGTATATTGATTGCGTTTCTCCAATTGGAAGAGAAGGGAAAGGAAAAATAAAAAGTAAGAGATTCCGAAAATAGTCTGAAAGAATCTACAAAAGGAGAAAGAAACAGAAAGCAGCAGAGAAAACCACTTGTTTAATTTACCTGCTTACATATTCTGTTATCCTTCATTTGATCAAATTTGGGAGTACCAAATGCTACAGTGTAGAAAAATTCTCTCCATAGCAACTGCAGAAATTGAAGTTACATATCATTTTTCATATTTAAAACCAAAATAACCAATAAAAGAATCAGACTGACCTGCCCAACAAGTGAAACTGGTGGTGATGTATGTCTTATGACATTCTTATAAATATCTCGAAGACACTGGTAGAAGTACCTGGAAGAAAGACATCCAAACTGCCAACAAGATTTTGAAAAGTATACACATGAAGAAAAGTTAAACTCCCATTGAGTTCAAGTTTTCAATACTCGGCAAAGATAAAGTAATATCAATAATGAAACAGCTCAGGTTTTTCATAACTCACTTTCAAGTAAGGTGACAGAACAGTTGTTGCAGGCTTTAGATATGCAGATGGATCACCCTTAGGTTTCTCAAAATTTGCCACCCAACCCTACATTATGAAGCAACAAATAAAGCTTCATTAGTGCTAGCTGTGGAAAAATCATGAAATTCTTATACATTCACATTTAAGGATTACAGAATATACCCAATTGGTATAGTTACAATCTAGGCAACTACTTAAACTAAATCCCAAACAATCAGAGATACTACTATCACAACTAGATTATTCCCACAGCTCTTATAATTTAGGATCGTTATACACAGTTCTCCTTATATAGGATAAACTGTGTAATCTTTTCCACACTTTCCCTCGAGCTGGTGGATAGATATCAATTATTCCAAGCTTGCAAAAAATCATTTGGAATGGTGTATCAGCCAACCTTTTGTTGCCCATAGATACACATGGAGTACATATCAACCAACTCTAATTTTTCTTTTATAGAGTGTATGTTCACCTCCAAATGTTTAGTTCTATCATGTTGCATAGAATTATGAGTAATACTAATAGCTGATTCATCGTTGCAGTATAATTCTGCCGGCTTGTTGCCCATAGATACACATGGAGTACATATCAACCAACTCTAATTTTTCTTTTATAGAGTGTATGTTCACCTCCAAATGTTTAGTTCTATCATGTTGCATAGAATTATGAGTAATACTAATAGCTGATTCATCGTTGCAGTATAATTCTATTGGTAAATTCCATTTAACTCTCAAGTTAATTTTGAACCAAACAGTTCGCAGATTCCTTGAGTCATTGCACGAAATTCAGACTCAGCAATTGACCTTGCTATCAAATTTTTTTTTTACTTGTCAAAGTTATAGAATGCCCAACAAGGAAAGTACAAAATCTTGATGTTGATCTCTTGCCAGCCACTGAACCTACAAAATCAGCATCAATGTATGCTTCTAATGTCACATATG